GAGACAACAGTTTCCCAGGCCAGTAACTCCTACCTTGGAAACTAAAACACACGTGGGTATATTTCCTTTGGTCTTTGTCTGTGTGTGTATGCAGACACATATTTTAAAAAGGGAAGAATCCCATTATATTACCAATTTTGCTGTCTGCTTTACTTTACATAGACAATTCCCCATCTTATTTAATATTCTTCAGTCATGATTTTCATGAGTCATATAGTATCCCATGTGCATCTACACTTAACTTATTTAACCATAACCATATCGTTGGACATGGAGGTTTTATTTGGGTTTTAACTATTCTAAAGAATGCTGCGTTAAATATTTTTGCATATGAATCTTTGTCACTATCTTTGATTACTTTGTTACGAGAAATGCTTAGGGATAGAAATATTGGATCCAAGAAAACACATCAGAGGATCCTGGTACCTACTGCCAAGTTTTGCCTCCTCCGGAAGTTGTATAAATTACATTCTTACCAACAGTGACCAAGGGTGCCCATCACATCTCACCTTTGCCAATCCTCTGTTGTGTTGTTATTTAACTTTTTGTCTGTTTTATCTATTCACTTGCAACCCGATTATAATCTCTCCGAGCAGGCCCTGTTCTGCTTCTTTATATCTGCCACAGAACTTTGCTTGGTGTCATTCATATAGTCCCCCTCGTAAATATTTGCCAAATGACTGAACTTCTATTCACAACTATTCCTCTGTGGTTAAGAGCCAGAGAAGTTACCTGAACAATCACTTTCAAATTGGTCGAATTGAGAGAGAGGTTTATATACTTGCCCTTGGTCTCCCACTGAGATGAGTTGTATAGAAAAGTATTAAATCACAAGTAACTGGCTCATGGTCAGGGTCCAAGAGAGAAAATGAGGTGTTTTTCAAGGTCAGCTCTGCAGCATGTTTGAAACTGGCTTTCTGTACTGTTAGTCGTTCTTCCTTCACAGCTGGGTGTGGGGAGGGGCAGAATCTGCTTTTACAACTCAGCCGTGTAGCAGAATGAGTGGAATTTTCCAGATGGTTCCTCTTGATGACTGTTGGCATAATTGCAGCTTTGCCCCTGGGAGCCGTTAGGCTGTGGCTCCGAAAGCCTGAACGGCTGTTTCAGCAGGTCAGATTGTGGGAGCCCTGTGTTTTCGTTGGCGTGGAAAGCCGTGTAGGATTTCAAACCATAAATAGCCTTTTAATTTTCCTTGTACTAGCTCCCTGCTAAGTGCTTCAAGCAATGAGGCTAAGGTGAGAAAAAGTATGTTATTGTCCACTTTCCCTCTCCTCTCCTCCCAGCCCCACCACACACACATCCCAAATACAGTGACTCAGATGATTCCCTGGCCAGAGCATCTGAGGCCATGTTCTGGGAATAATACATTGCTTTAGAAATTTTTAGACTCTACAAATCCACTGTGAAGATGAATGATACTTCCTCTCTCCTAGCCACAGAGCCCTCTCTCCTGGAATAGTTCTCTTTCTGTTTTCAGGTAAAGAGGCTTAGAGTGTGAAAGCTTGCTATGGATTTTGGGACATCTGAGCCTATAATATCCCTGTGTTACACTTTCACCTCCCCATTTGCAAACTGAGCACCAATTTTATAACACCCAGTAAACACAGTTGCCCCAGGATGCAGGTGGTGTAAACTAAAAGGGTAAATTTGGACTGATACAAGTTTGCCTTACTGGGATGGGCCAGTTTGCTTCTCTATTCCCTGTAGCTGTCAGAGGTTATCTTTTAGAGTCTCGTTTCCTTAGAGCAATAATCTCTTTAACCTACAGGTTGGAAGAGTTCTCTTATTTTTTTTAAATTAATTTTTATTGGAGTATAGTCACTTTACAATGTTGTGTTAGTTTCTGCTGTACAGCAAAGTAAATCAGCTATATGTATACATATATCCCCTTTTTTGGATTTCCTGCCCATTTAGGTCACCACAGAGCACTGAGTAGAGTTCCTGTGCTGTATAGTAGGTTCTGATTAGTCATCTATTTTATACATAGTAGTGTATATATGTCAATCCCAATCTCCCAATTCGTCCCACTCCCCCTTCCCCCCTTGGTATCCATACGTTTGTTCTCTATTTTTGCTTTGCAAATAAGTTCATCTGTATCATTTTTCTAGATTCCACATATTAGCAATATTATACAATATTTTTCTCTTTCTGACTTACTTCATTCTGTATGACAGTCTCTAGGACCACTGGAAGATTTCTCTTAGAATTAAGAATTGTCACTGTGGCAGATATGGTGGACCAGCATGCCAACTCCTAGTGTGTAGAGGTTGGAAAATGTAAAACTTTATTTGCCAGACTCCCTTGCACATCACATCAGGTTTTGATGTGATTGAGTTTCTGGTAATGAGATGCACTTCTTTGATACTTGGATGTGGGAGCCAAGTCATGTGTGGAAAGAGGCAGGGTAATGGGTACCCATATTTGGTAGTGTGGACTGTGCCATGGGTTGTGTGGTTCTGGAGCTGCTAGCTTTAGCAACGGCTTCCCAGTTCAGCAGGCAGCTTCCTGAGCCAGCAGTTCCCTTGGGGGCCCAGTTCTATAGCACGGATTTGGGAATCACTCCTCGAGTCAGTTCTTTAGCTAGCCAACTCCGCTCCTCCATTTAATATCTTGTAGTAAATCCCTCTCTTTGTAAACCTGCTGACTGATATAACTCTATAGCAGCAAAGCTATCTGTTAACTATAGCTAACAAGATAAGTTGTCTTACCTTGTTCATTTGTTGGCTGAGACAAAATAAAATGGTTGGAATTTTATCTTTGGCCTTGATTTTATTACAGATATCCTTTCCCCAAAGATAGTTTTGGACTATCCTGTTCCCTTTTGCATGCTTTTCCTTGTGATGGTGGATGACCTTATATTGAACTTTCCCCCAGAGTTATATTGATGTTTCCATCTTCATTGACCTATTTAATTGGGACAATTTCATGTGCCAATTAATACCTCATCTCTCCCTAAAAATATAGAATACTGTATTATTAATAAGCATAGCTATTTAATAATAGCTATGGAATGCATATCTGCTGAAGCTTGTAACAGACACAGAAAGGGCTGGGAGAAACATTCTGCTATTTATCAAGACATAAGTACTGGCATTTCATTTTCAACAAAAAAGCACCACCCCATTATATTATAAATCATGGCTAGCCTATTTCCTGACATCTTAGTACACTCATGGCATCTCATGACAGCTCTAAAAATGTTAACGTTATATTGTTAGAGGCATCGCACTGGACTGATTTTGATTAGTTGTCTTATGGAACTATTCTTACCCTAGTTTGCTGAAACTTTGCTATGAAAAATGGACTCAGACATCTCAGGCATACAAAGTGCTGGTTGGAAAGGCACTGATTTAACTGGGCAGGACTATGCTCAGGAATTATAAAGGTGGAATATACCCTGAAGTGCCTTCTTTTAATCCTTGGAGTTGTCCTTCAGCTAGGAACAGCTACAGGGCAGATCAATTTGAGAAGTTAGACTCCAAGCCTGAGTGGAGAGTGCTTTCCCATTTTGCAGGTTCTGTGGGAAGAGCTCTGCCTTGCGCTAGATGCTTAAGGGCACGTGGGCTCTTTGTGAATGAAGCAGGGAACAAACATTTCTGAAGAAGAACAAAGATTCTGTCTCAAATTCAGAACTAAAAAAGGAATTTGTTTATTGAGGGCAAGGGGATGCAAGCAATATAAAAATCAAAAGCTTATCTGACTTTAATTGACTTTTCTTTCTTTGCTTCTCAAGGTGGAGCTGGATTTTATTTGTACATTTTCTAAGGGTCCCCATCTGCTCAGGAAATCCTTATACAGGGGTAGCTGTGGGGCAGATTCCTTAAGTGACCCTTTATGAGAATTCTTATCAGGGTGGGAGTAATTGCTCAATGCTGCCTACTTCTTTCCCTTCTTCATGTGTACTACAAAATAGTCATTGCACGCGATGGTGAGCCCAGCGATTAGTGAAAAGAAGCTCTGGAAGCCCACTTTGCCGTCTCGGCACTGGTCCAGGTCCTTCATTATTTTGTCCACAGCCAGAGGGTCTTTTTGATTCTGAAAAAAAAAAGACAGAGGCAAGAAATACGAGTCAATGGTTGCAATGACGAGCTTCTTTGATTTGTACTGCTGACAGCTATATATATAATCTCCTAATTATTTGAGTTCTTGCTTTAGGTCATAGTGATCTTTGGAGGTCGTCTAAATGTATTTTTCTGCTTTGAGGGAGCATTTCAGTAAATTCATATTTATTTCAAGCTAGGAAAGAGGTTTCCATGGCACTCTTTTATATAACTCCACTCTTTTATATAACTCAGGGACTAGAAACAGCCTATTTCTAGAAAGAGGAGATTCAGTGCCAGAGAAGGGAGACTCACGACTCTGAACTCTCAGTCCACTTAGAAACCAGCATGGCCTTCTGACATGCTTTACTTACAGTCCAACTGTTACAATTTTCAAAATCACAAAATTCTGAGAACCAGCCCAAATTCCCCCATTTTTTAGTTTAAACTTATATTCTCTTGACAAGCTTTCATTCCTGATAGCATGGTCAAGTCCTTAAAGAAGGAAACTCCTATGAAAGACCTCATGTGATTATTTAGGGAGTAAATTTCAGATCATTGTCCTATGGATTTTAAAGAGGTGTTAATGATGCCCCGGGGTGTGTTAGGTGTAAAGAGTTCAGGCAGATGGTCCTCATTTCTTGGCACAGCTGAGGCCAGTCTAGGGTGGCTTCATATCATATTAGTCAGGTGACCTAGAGTAAGTCACACAGCTTGGTGGGCCTTCGTTTAACAACTAAGAATTGAGGTTGGACTAGAGTGTTTCTAAGATTGCTTCTGTTTTTAATAAGTTGGTCAATCTATGCCATCCTATACTCTTTGCTGGATGTACTCTTTGTTTTATACTGGATGTACTTCAAAAGCAGTATGTGTGATGGAGTTATAAAACTCCCCATGATTCTCAATGCCTAGCATGAATATATGGAACTAAGATGAGCAGGTAAGATCCCCTTTGTTTTTTCTTTTACTCTGTTTTCAAGGTGATTGGCTTGATCATTCCTTTTCGTAGTGATGATGCTTAGAAGTGGGAAAGTGTGGTTTCTCCTGTAGAGTCCATGCCATCAACCAGAGGGAAATATGCCCCTTTACAGGTATTAAAGGACTCAGGTAAAATATTTATGAATTTCATTGATTGTATAAATGAGTGATGGAACTGATACTCAGTGTCTCAAGTGTGCTGGATGTTTACAAACTGCACTCAGAAATCCCTTAAGGTAAAGCAGCAGCATTTCCTACACGCCCTAAGCAATCAACTATAACCTGTCTATGCAGCTACCTCTGCTTTTGGTGGGTTTCAGTTAATTCTGGCCTTAACCCCAGCTTCCTGGCCGTGGTCAGGAATGAAATTTGGATGACGTAAGGGGTCAACTTTAGAAACAAAACGATCTGTGAATGCAGCGAGTGTGGGTGTGCTTGGAATTATGACCCCATGCTTAGAATAAATTATACTGCCATGTTCAGTACTCGTTACTGAACACTTTATGTTTACCAAGCCACAAAGCCTTTAGGGAGGAAGGATCTTCGTCTCATGTGATATCATCCTGGCTTCTAACTTATGCAACAACACAATTAATGAGTGTTCAGAAGTAGACCGAGAGCGCCTTTGTTTGTGTGATGGGCAGGTTTACAATGAGCACATTTTGTCCTTGAATTTTATGCTTGCCTGGAAGGATCACAGAAAGTGAAAGTGGTCTTGGAGAGAATCATGTCCAGCCTCTCATTTTCCAGAGGCAGGAACTGAGGCACAGAAAGCTGAAGCAACCTTCCCAGTTAGGGTCCTGGTCTGGGGCTCTATCACAGAACTGTACAAAAGCAGAACAACAGTATCCTCTAACTCATTCTGGGATAGAATTGTGGTAACTGCAGCTCTGAGTACTAGTTAAGCTTTTTATATCTGTTTATCTGACTGGTATTGATAACATGTAAATCATCATGTACTACAAAACCCTATGTTTAATGAGTCAGGAGTCAGGGGCTTGATTAATGCTGTTTACCAGGCAGATGACAAGAGGCAGAACCCTGTCTTTTACCATCTCCTCCCTTCACCCTTTAGAGGCCAATGCACACCAAACACAGTACTGATCCCTTCAAATGACTCTGGTTGTGGCAGGGAGAGAAGGGCCTGCATTTCAATCTAATATTTTGTTAGGCGATGTTTCACCTTCAGTGAAACGCAACAGCCGTCTCTTGAGGGCCTATGATGTAAAAGGGCAACTGTGCCTTGTTGCCTAATGTCCTGAGTGATGTATCTGAGCTCATGGCAGATCCTCTTCTGGTCTTCACGGACCCCTCGATCTGTCAAAGGTGAGGCATAAACTCAAACTGTGCTCCTGTCTCATTGCATTTTCAATGTGAAAAGAAGTTATTTCTGGAGTGCCGCTTGGCACTCATTCAGCAGATACTTGACACCGTTGTTTTAGAGCAGTGTTGGAAAAAAATTTTAAAGCCTTTATCTAAAGGGATTTAATTTAAGAAGGGAGATTCAAGTTGCTCAAAGTGGATGTGACCAGGATGTGGTACCTCCAGTGCCAGGTTTATGGACCTGAGGGCAACAAGGCAACCTGGTTGATTACTCTGGTGAAAGGCCTTCTTTCCTGCAACTCTGTCTCAATGGACACAGATGACTCCATATGGATTCCTTCTAACACCTCGCATTATGGTGATTTGTGTGTAGTCTCATTTCACTTCCAAACTGTAAGCTCCTTGAGGGCAGGGCCTGTGTCTTCTTTACCTTCTGTTTCCTCCCCTAGTATCTTACAAACAGTAGGCATTCAATAATGTTTAATAAGTAAATGAATGAAAACATCTTTCTAGTAGTGACTTCCACAGGGAAGGGCTGGAAAGAGGAAGGGAAAGGAACTAGGGCCCAGAAGCATTGATTTTTACATCTGGTTCTGGTTCTTTCTGAGCCTTTCAACACTTACTTCCAAAAATCCAGGGAACTCCTTTTCCATGAGTACTCTCAGGTCCTCCTTTGTTAAGTAGCCTTTATCCCCAGCAAACTTGTGAAATGTGAACATCATGGTTTCCATGGCATGTTCCATTTGAGAGGGCATTTTGGTGAGGTCTGTTGGAACCTATTAAAGGATGTAAAGAAACAATTTACATTAACTTTTAAGCGACATGAATTACCAGTCTTTTGAGAATGATTGGAAGAGGGTGATAAGCTCATTCATTCAATCCTTTTCAGCTGTAAAATTCAATGAATATAAGGACCAGTTCACTCAGGTTTTATGCCTCCTGCTGATGGAAATAGGCAGTTTAGGTATTGGTGCTCTGAATAAGGGATTTATCTAGTTGTCTGCTAATTTTGCATAAATCACCTAATGAAGAATAAAAACACTAATTATTTGGAAAAGCAAGATCAGTGCCCCTCCTTTTAACTGACAAAGCACCTACTGAAAGAACAGACGTTTCTCTGCTTCTCTTAGTGCTGGTAAATGGGACTCTTCAATATGGATATGGCTGAATACCAACAACCCACACAATCAAGCCTGGTTAATATAAAAACTTCAACTCTCCAAGCTTAACTAGGTAACCTTGTTCAGTCATTCTAGGGTTTAGAAATCTGCTTAAAAATGAATTTTGTCTCCTGAGCATGTATTGGCCTCACTGCGTGGCTTGCGGGATCTTAGTTCCCCGACCGGAACTGAACACAGGCCACTGCAATGAAAGTGCTGAGTCCTAACCACTGGACTGCCAGGGAATTCCATGTATTCTTCACTAAAGTTCTGAACTTGTTAGTGATTGTAACAAAGACATTTGCATCTTTGGTAGTAACATGCTGTTGCCCTACCCAAATAAAAGCTACCCAAAGCCCGTTATCTACTTCCTTGAGAAGGAACAAGTAATAGTATATCGTAATTCCTTTGGGGATCTAATATACTTTTGGCAGCACTAGACAAAAGAGCTACTCTCACAGTCTGGGGTGCAGTGGGAAAGGAAGAGCTTTTCATTGTGAATAGTTTAAAACAAAGGTAAGGGATGTCCCTGGTAGTGCAGTGGTTAAGAATCTGCCTACCAATGCAGGGGACGCGGGTTCGAACCCTGGTCTGGGAAGATCCCACATGCCGTGGAGCAACTAAGCCTGTTTGCCACAACTACTGAGACTGTGTGCCACAAGTACTGAAGCCCACACACCTAGAGCCCGTGCTCCGCAACAAGAGAAGCCACCGCAGCGGGGAGCCCATGCACTGCAACGAAGAGTAGCCCCGCTCACTGCAACTAGAGAAAGCCCACCCGCAGCAGTGAAGACCCAACACAGCCAATAAATAAATAAATAAATAAATTTAATTTTAAAAAAAAGAAAGGAAAGGATGTGTCAGATCATTATATTCAGGTATAATAATCTAGGGGCATATGTCTCATCAAGACCCAATGCCTGGTACTTAATAGGAGCCCAGTGAATTTTGCTTAACTGGAGGGCATGCTTTAGCCAGAATGGAATAGCTTTGGCTAACACCACCTAAAATCACTACTGGATAGGAAACAGGTGAATTTGAATTGAGACTGTAATATACCACTCAAAAAAAAAAAAAAAACCACAAAAAAACCCGTCAAGAATAAGTTTAGAGCAGAGATTGAAGGAGAGGCTGGCAACTTCCCCTGAAGAGTCTCAGTAGGAACCGGAGACATGCTTTCAGTCTGGTTCCTTCCGCTGACACATGCATACTCAACACAGATCCGTAAATGCTGTCTGTTACAGAGAAGGTGGAGCTGGTAAACATGAGGATTGAAAAATTACACTTTAAGAGTCAAAAGTTCTACCCCTTAATCCCCAGAAAAGTACAGAAATCAGCATGCCAAAGAATGCTATACTCTAGAGAATGCTATAAACCAGAATCTGGCATGATTCATCTGGAAAGCAGTTCTCTTGGAGAGAGCAGCCAATTCAAGGTCCACTGTGGGATGAATTCCAGGGGAACCACACCCTTTCCCCTCTCTCCTGACACAGCCAGGATCTGGCTTCAGATGGCAGTGGGCTTAGAGGGAGTCAGCCTTGCCTGGATTGGCGCTGGAAGTCCAGCAACATAAGAGAACTGAACTGAATGAGTCACCTATGGGAGAAGGCTGTGGCATCCCACCCCAGTTCTGAAATATCTCAGGAAAGGAGTCAGCCACCACAGAGGTTTAAAAATACCCGTGCCCAAGCTCAAGTGGCAGAGCACTTCACAACAAATGCCCAAAGATCCCAGATACTGGAACTGGCTGTGGGACACCTAGTTCACATTCTTCACAGGGCAGAGCAGAAGGAAAATGCACTGCAAAGCCAGAGAAGTAAGAAAGGGAATACAGCAGGGTAAGGACCCCTAAAATAGGAAACAAGCTAATTTAGGAACCTCTAAGAAATACAACTTGTAAGCTGAGGAAGTCCTGGCCACCCCTGAATACCTTCTTCAAGAGAGTGAGGCCAGTCTTCCTCTAGTGAGCACTCAGGTCACTCCAAACCCACCCCGGGATTGTCTATGCTCATTATGAAGTTACAGAGCTTTCCTGCCCCACTGGATCTCCCTCTGCTGTTTACTCAGCACATGGGCTGTGGACACAGCAGTCAGCACAGACTCCCTGTTTGTTCTGCAATAAGAATGTAGATCAGGGGCTACTCAGGAGATCTAAGGTTGTGAAAGTGAAAACAGCTTTGAAAACCAGAGATGACCACCCTCTCATCAGTAACCAGGGCCCCTGAGGGCACTGACCTGGGCTACGAGCAAGTTATTCCGTTTTGAAGGTGAAGCAAGTACACTGGTTTTAAAGTAAGATGAAGGAAAAGGGGAAGATGTGATTAATACTGTTCTTTCGGCTAGTGGATGAATCATACAGCTCTTCCAGAGTGCAGCGGTTGACCTACTGAGTCAGCCTGCCTGGCCCTCCCATTTTGGGCGGGGCTTGCCCGGCCTGGGCTGACGGAAGCACTGACCATTGGTTGCTAAAGCAGCAAGCAGTTCAGGGACTTGAGTTCGCCGTTTCCACCGCCCCAGAAGAGTCCCACCCCGGGACTCTATAGCTTCTGGCTCGGAAACACTTCCAATGGATAGCCTTGGGCCTGGGGTTGAGAGGCCGCAGCTTCCCCTCTGTTCCCCAGACAGCCTAC